TGTTGATCTCGTCGGCGAGCCTGGTCTGCTGCAAGTAGTTGCAGAAATCGCTGTACTCCGGGAAGTCCTTGAGAATGTCGGTGATATTGTGGGCGGAGACGACGGCGACGGCGGCGGCAAGGGCGAGAACGAAGAAGAGGAATTTGGAATCCGCCATTAGAAAGGGAAGAGGAGAGAGCAGAGAGTGGAGAAGCAAAAGAAGGGTTTAGGGGTAATAAAAGAGAGAGTGGTTAAGTTAGTTAACTGGGGTTAAGGGAGGAGGTAACCATGGTTAGGGTATTTTGGGTAATGTGACAGGGCTCTTTTGGACACAGCTGGAAATATCAAAAGTGGTTTATGTGCTTGGCGTACGCCACACCCACAGAGGTGGCTTCTTGCTTTCTCTTACTTTTAGAGAAATTACGCTTTTGACCTCCGGACTACCCACTTGCACGAGGAACAATAACTAAAATTTTTTTTTTTTTTGGGCAACGGTCACAATATTAACGGTAAACTGGGTCGAACGGTCACAATAGGAAATTTTCTTTTTCTATATATAGGTATTTTATTTCATTTCATATATTTTTATCCTACTTAGGGAGATTCGATGAATATTTCATTTTAGAAAGAGAAAATTCAAGACATATGAGATTTTTTTAAAAGATTGGATGCGAATACTAATCCATGACCTGGCATGTCCATAATGAAAATTTCATTCTTGATTCAACAAAAATTTTTATGAAAGTTTTCATAGGTTAGGCTTCTCTTTAATGGAACCTGTATTTTCCATCTCAGATTGGACAAGTCGGTGAAACTTAAGAAATAGCTTCATATAGGGAGAGACGGGTTTTTAAACGAACAAGAGAAACTTCCAATATAATTAGAAAAGAAAACTAAATTAATAAAAGTTCTCATATGCTTTGAAGTCATCAAAATCCTCCTTACTACTGCATAATAATATCTTCATCTTCTCATCAATTAAAGAACAATTTGAAATTGCAAACCTAAGTATAGTTCAACTGGTTAAGACATATATCTCCGTCAAAAAGATCGTAAATTCATATTCTCACCCTGTATGTTTTTGTAAAAATTATGAAATTAAAAGTCTATTATTAAAACATTCAAGTTCCCTACACCATCCAAATAAACCCCTCAGGCAACCTAAACTCAAGTTTGCAAAGTCGAAACCAAACAAGCACCCCTAAAATTTCTTACTTTCAATGAAAATTTAAAATATATATAGTTGCCTAAACATACATGTTTCTTAAAAATTGGGAGAAAAAAGGAGAAATTTGAAATGGAAATGTTAGAGAATAACTCATAAACTTTAAATCAAATTTCTTGTTATCTCAATAAATAAAGAATATATAGAATTAATTGAAGGAGGGGTATAATGGGAAATTCAAGAGAGAACGTCGTTTGAGGGGAGCAGTGCTAGGCTGTCGGAGGGTAGTTGGAAGAAGGGGCTGCTCGTGGCTGCGCAACATTACAATATATTTTGAATCATAATTCATTAATTCTATATCATTCATTTTCTAAATTTAGAATTATTTTATAATTTTTATCTTAATATTTGAAAAATATTTAATTTTCTACATCTTTTGACTATTGGGTCAATTCCAATATTTTATATAATGAGTTCTCAGTTTCTTGTTATCAGACGTCCAAAATTATTAATTTAGTAACTTTAAAGTATAATTTATATTTAAATCTTATTTCGAGCTCAAGTGTATATATTTTGATCCCAAAACTTGAGTTCCTTTTTATTTCTAATTTAAATAAAACTCATCTAATCCTTTTTATTACTTTCTTTATAAACTAATAAATACAAACCTAATATAGATACATTTTTTGTTCATTTATCTAATAAACAAATGTCTAGTAATATAGACAAATATTTGAAGTCGAAGACGTTAGATTCCAAAGTAGAATTAGATTTATACTAAATAATTAATGTAAAAGATGAATCTATTTCGTTGTTTTAGAAATTAAAAAAAGACCTACAAATTCAAGGACTAAAATGAAATAAGTATGAAATTTTGAGGATGGAAAGAAGATTTAAACCTGCAAATTGCAACTAAAAAGTATGTGAACTACCTAAACATTTTACAATCAATTAATTTAACCTTAATTAAAATGATAGCTCACTGTTTTATCAATAGTTGATTCATTTTTTAAAGCAATTATATATATATATATATATATATATATAGTTTTCAAAAGCTTATTTTTGTTTTTAAAATTTGACTAATAATTCAAACATATTTTCAAGAGGTGAAAATTTTAGTAACGATAATGTGCCCAAAAAAAAAAATTTAAAACAAAACATTTAAAAATAAAGTATTATCAAACAACACCAAATGTTTTAAATTTTCCATATAACTTTCTCAAAGTTTCAAAGAATGGTGATGAGGTCTAGAAAATAATAATTTTCAATGAAATGACATCCTTTAAATATTAAATATACGCCTCATTTATGCAAAAATAACATATCAACTATGTCATATTTATGATTTTATAATCATACCAACTTAAAAATTCTCTCCAAATGTAAATAAATATAGTCAGTTAGAGAGGGAAAAGACAAAAGGAAAGGAACAAAATATAAACTCTTAAAAGTATAAGAACAAAACTACGTCGAGACTTGAGAAGTATAATTTTAACCCAAAACACCCACAATTCTCATTCTCAATCTCAATTTTCGAACAATAAACGACTCTGCAAAAAAGCCTATTACTCTCGGATGAAGCAATGAGCAGAAGATGGTTAGCTTCTATCAAAGATTTTCAGAATCTTACCTTTGATTTCTTAGCTGATTGATGGGTAATTTTTGGAGCAAATCTTCCCAGCAAATATTGATATATTTCTCTGTACTTTGGTTAGTGATGCAGAGATTCCCATTGCCATTTGCCAATGCCAGCTTATGGCCTCCTAATGGAACCAAATCTGCTCCTGCCCCAACACAACCACCACCATTAATGCAAATCCAGCTGCCAACTAAAGATGCTTAGTTTTGTATTTGGAAATTTTTTGTTCCACCCAAAAAAAATAAATGTTCTTCAAGATGTGGATATGACCTTTAACAGTGAGAGAACCAAAAAAAATTCCATCAAACATGCTTTTAAAAAGTTGAATATCTACATGTTCAAAAATCTCTCAAACTTGTAAACATGATTTCAAGTGTACAGAAACCCAATCTGAGTGTGATGAAACAATTTCTAAAACTTGTTCTAGCAATACAGGTCCTTAATTTCTTAGATTTAAAGCATTTAGGTTACATAGAAAGAGGAGAAATCAGAAAAGGGAAAAACCAGGGTGGCTGGCTGCTTTGATGGCAGAATTATTCTGGCATAAGATGGTTATGATTGCAGCCTAAAATTAGCAAGGTGTCCTTTCAAATAAAAACTGCAAAGCAACTGCCAGGTCACTATTTGTGTTGCTGTGTGGTGTAATAACATTCCGGCACATTGACATGCAAAGATTTTTTAAGAAAGTTCTCTGTTGTACAAGTTGACAAATCAAGAAGATGGGTTTAATGAAACAAATTTACAGCCTTACACCTACATTATAATGGAATGATGATAGATATTTCAAGAAAAATAACAAACAAAAGTGAAATTTTGTATAAATGATTTGAATTGATAAAAAAATCAATATTTGTATGATTAAAACTAACATATATGTGTGAATTGATTAAACATCAACATAATCAGTTATCAAAACTAATATGAAAATTGGAAAGTGGAATGATAATATGTGCACAAAAGAAATAGAGTTGAGGGAAAAAGAAAATATGAAGCAACTTAGAACCTTAAAAATGACTTTAAACTATTTCTAATATATGTATTGGGGTATTGATTTTTTACAAACTTTCATGGATAATGTTGATAGTCTATATTTTTAAGAAAAAGGGTCTCCCATTTATCAATATTCAAAACCATTTTTCTGCAATTGATTAGAAGTAGAACACAGTTTGTTTCTTTCCATTGTCAATATACTTTAGAAGATTAAGAGGATAAGCTTTAACAACTACATCCAGATCAGACTCTAGCAAAGAAAAACAGAATAATGGTAACAGAATGGACTAATGCTACACTTACATCAATTAGACAGCGGGCGATATCCCCATTGAAGGTATTTGTATCCCTGGCCTTGAGGTCCATGCCTTGCGGTTTCTATATTCATTTATAGCCTGCAATCGCTTCCTCTCTTGTGAAGCAACTTGTGCAGATTTAAATGCCTGTATGAAACACCGAGGAAGGAGTAGACAAATACAACTTGTTAAATACTCAAAACTGAAATGTTCATTTAACTTGATCTTATACGATTAGATGTTACCTTCGGAACTGCAACCAACTTCAGTGGAGCTTCAACCACGTCTCCAAATTTGATTTTTTCATGTCTTGGGAAGTCTAGATCCTCCTCTGTCTTGGGTTTTTTATGTTTATTTTTTTTCGCCTCCTGAAATCTATTTAAAAATAAATGTAATGGCAATATCTGTTAGAAACGGGAACAGATATTTTACCAGGTCACTAAGCTTCTACAATAAACTTTTGTAAAATGGTACATGGCACTGAAAATGGGTAAATAAACAAGTGTATACAGAAACACACTGCATCACTGCCTATTACAGATTTTAAATTATTTAACTGCTAGATAAACATTGTGGGGCTCAATAGGATTTAAGGGTAATTTAATTTTGTGACAGCCTTGAGTTCAGTTGAATAAACAAAGGATTTGGGAATATTTTTAGTAAACAACCATAAGAAAGTAAGCATGGATATGGATGTGAGACACGGACACAATATGACAAGGACACATTGACACATCATTTTCTAAAAATTTAGAATACAGACACGGCAAGGACACGTTTGTTAATGCATATGTTAGGAATCTTCCTCACAAAAGTTGATATTCAAAGCAAAGATGATATTGAAAGCAAAGAGAGCCCTAAGGCATACAAAAGTCTTCACAGCCAATTTGAGAGGACTGCACTCTCCCTACCCAGATTCCTTAAACAAACAAAACATACCCTGTCCCTACAGCACCCCTCCGCATATAAGTACTAACTAACTTGAGGGGGGGTGAAATTCCCTCTCTGCCCCTCCTAACATAAGTATTGACTATTGGGGGCCTTACATCACCCTCGGGGTACAAAAGCACCTTGTCCTCAAGGTGGAATTCTGGAAACTGATGCCGAAACTCTGAGCGGTTCTCCCATGTTGCCTCCCATTCTGGTAGCCCCTTCCATCGCACGAGCAACTCTACCTGGCGAGTATCCTCATTTTGCTGCAGCTCCATAATCTCTTTAGGGATCGCTGTCCACTCAAAATCTTCGGAGAGGCGAGGTGGATGTGGGCAGACCTCTGTCGTGTCCCCTGTTGCCTTCTTGAGTTGAGAGATGTGGACCACTAGATGAATTGACGAACTGGGGAGGTCCAGCCGATACCCACACATTCCAGAATTTGATATGGGTCGAAGAACTTGGCAGAAAGCTTCTCATTACAGCACCGGGCAATGGAGCGCCGGCCATTCTATCATGGCTCGCACTTTTTCCGGATCCGCCTCGACCCCTTGTGCGGACACCCAATGCCCGAGATATTCCACTCTAGGTAGCCCAAACTAGCATTTGGATCGATTAGCATACAGGTGGTTGTCGCGCATCACATTGAACACCATAATGAGGTGTTGGAGGTGTGCCTGCAGATCTGGGCTATATACCAAGATATCATAAAAAAAAAAACAAGAATGAATTTACGAAGGAAAGGTCGGAAGATACTGTTCATGAGTGCTTGGAAGGTGGATGGCGCATTGGTGAGGCCGAATGGCATTACCAGAAACTCATAATGCCCCTCGTGTGTCCGGAAAGCAGTTTTGGGCACGTCCTCCTCATGGACCCATATTTGATGATACCCGGACTTCAAGTCTATCTTCGAGTACACTTGGGAGCCATGAAGTTCGTCTAGCAACTCCTCGATAACTGGTATGGGAAATTTGTTCGGTATTGTGGCGTTGTTCAGCGCCCGGTAATCGACACAAAACCGCCAACTGCCATCCTTCTTTTTTACCAACACGGGACTCGAGTACGGGCTCACACTCGGTCGGATTTGTGGGTAACGATAAGGTCATCATTTCCTCAATCAAACGCTCTATCTCTGTTTTCTGGATGTGTGGGTAACGATAAGGTCGGACGTTGACCGATGGGTGCCCCTCCGCTAGGGTGATTCGATGATCGATGTTGCATTGGGGGGAAGTCCCGAGGGCATCCGAAAACGGTCCCTACGACCAGATCGTTGATGAGCCGTTCTTCCGATGTGCGGTTGATGGCCTCACTCTCCCATGGTTCCCTTTCTTGAACATTAATCGCACGACACTCAACTACGTACCCTTGATCCCTCATATCCCATGTCTGCACTAGCCTTTTCATCGTCACTTTGGCACGAGTCAAGGACGGGTCTCCCTTGAGTGTCGTACGTGAGTCCTGGAATCTTTAAGTTTTGCCAGTTAACCTCAATTACCCCTAAGTTGGTCAGCCACTGCATACCCAGCACCACGTCGATGCCCCCAAGCTCGAGGGGTAAGAAATTTTCCACGATCGTAAGATTAGGTAGGGAGAGCACTACTAAATTGCATATCCCTTTACCACAAATGGTTGTACCCGACCCCATTATGACACCGTAGTTGGAAGCTCGGACCGTGGGATGTTGAGCTTCTCTACCAGTTTTAGAGAGATGGAATTGGGTGTAGCTCCACAGTTCACTACCACTACCACGGCTTCATTTTCGATCTGTCCGCGCAGTTTGATAGTCCCGGGTGTTGATATCCCTACCACCGAATTGAGGGAAAGCTCGGCCACCTCCACTACTTCTGTTGATTTCATGTCGGCCTCCTTGACAACGTCTCTTTCGAGTTCTACTTCGGCTTCGGTTCCGTCTTTCTGAACCACAAAACCCTAAGTTCTTTACCCTTGCATCGGTGACCTACCGTGTACCGTTCATCGCAACGGTAACACAATCCTTTCTCTTTCCGTGATTGAAATTCTGCCTCGGATAGTCGCTTGAAAGGGGTTTCCTCCTTGGTGATAGGTTTTTGAATCGAGGTTGAGCTGGGTAGCGTGATCGTACGAGTAGGGGGCACCTCC